ATTCATCAGTCAAAGCCTCTTTAACATTTTTGGTTCAATCTTAGATACAAAGCAAGAGTTTGTGATGATTTCCCTAGATCTTGTAATGACTCCACTGTTATGGTCTCCTATGATGAGTTCCTTAGGATGATCTTTCTGAATTCTGATGGAAGGATCTTTGTTAGTTTCCTTTGATTCAGACTCTGATGGAGTAGTTTTAGGTGCATCATCCTTTTTAGTCACTTGAGTTGAAGTCTCAAAGAATGTCTCAACATCATATGGAACATTTGTTTCCTCATGGTGATCATCAACTATGACATTTATAGATTCCATCATAACTTTGGTGCTAGAATTGAATACCCTATATGCTCTATTGTTGGTAGAGTATCCTAGGAATATTCCTTTATCACTTTTAGGGTCCATCTTTCTCCTTTGTTCACGATCTGTCAAAATATAGCATTTGCTTCCAAAGACATGGAAGTACTTCACTGTAGGCTTTCTTCCTTTCCATAGTTCATAAATGGTGGATGATGTTCCCTTTCTCAAGGTGACCCTGTTATGGACATAACAGGCTGTATTCATAGCTTTAGCCCAAAAATGAATAGGAAGTCTTTTGGCATGTATCATTGCTCTGGAAGATTCTTGTATAGTCTTGTTTTTCCTTTCCACAACCCCATTTTGTTGAGGAGTTATGGGTGAAGAGAACTCATGATTGATTCCTTCTGAGGAACAGAACTCATCAAACTTACTGTTTTCAAATTCCTTACCATGATCACTTCTGATTCTGACAATGCATCCTTCTTTTTCTCTTTGAATTCTTTTGCACAGTTCCTTAAATACATCAAATACATCAGACTTTTCCCTAATGAAGTTTATCCAGGTGAATCTGGAAAAATCATCCACAACAACATATGCATATCTCTTTCCACCAAGACTTTCCACCTGCATTGGACCCATCAGATCCATATGTAGAAGTTCTAGCACCTTAGAGGTGGACAGATGTCTTGTCTTTGGATGTGACATTCTAGTTTGCTTTCCAACCTGACATTCACCACAGACTCTCCCTTCATCAATCTGAAGCCTTGGAATCCCTCTGACTGCCTCCATGGATATGATCTTTTTCATCCCTCTTAGATGTAAATGACCAAGTTTTTGGTGCCACAGTTTCACTTCCTTTTCTTCTTTGGCTATAGAGCATATAGAAGAGTAGTTAGTGTTCTCAGACTCCCATAAGTAACAGTTGTCTTTTGATCTGACTCCTCTCATTACAACTTCTTGTTTTTCATTAGTTACAAGACATTCAGACTTGGTGAAGTTGACCTTGAATCCTAGATCACATAATTGACTGATACTTATGAGATTAGCAGTCAAACCATTTACCAGCAACACTTCATTTAGGTTTGGAACTCCAGGGCAGTCCAAGTTTCCAACTCCTTTAATTTCTCCTCTAACACCATCTCCAAAAGTGACATAACTAGTAGTATGAGGTTTAACATTATTCAGAAGATTCTTGATTCCAGTCATGTGTTTAGAGCATCCACTGTCAAAGTACCAGTCTTCCTTGGTAGAAACTCTAAGGGAGGTGTGAGCTATCAGGGCTGCAGACTTTTTCTTCCACTGTTGAGTATATGGTGCCTTGTTAGTCTTAGGTTTGACATATGGGGTCTGATTAGGATATCCATATAATCTGAAGCAGAATGGCTTTATGTGACCAAACCTTCCACAATGATGACATCTCCATCTTTGATACTTTTTCTTCATATTTCTCTGTTCTTGATGTTGAGTGCTATGTTGTGACATCTGCTTTGACATTTGTTTATCAGGCCTGGTCTTCTTCTTGTCAACAGCAGATTTCTTTGCAGCCACAAATCCTAGACCAGACATGTTTCCTACATTTTGTCCAGTCTGAAGGATTTCTTCCAACTTGTCAGTTCCATTTGTCAGCATCTTGACAGACTTGGTCATCTGATCAAGTTTGGAGTTCAGCATTTGAACTTCACCTTCGAGATGGCTTATAGTATCCGTGTCTGACTTCTTCTCAGTCTCCAACTTTACTATGAGTTTTTTCTGTTTCTCATTTTGCTGACAGACTTCAGCATTTCTGATATATAGCTTCTCGTAGGAGTCAGCAAGTTCTTCAAATGTCACTTCCTCATCACTAGAGTCACTATCAGAGTTACAAATACCAGCTAGTGCAGTAACTAGTTTCACAGATTCTTCTTCAGAGTTACTTTCTGAGTAACAATTAGACCAAGTAACAGACATTCCTTTCTTTTGTTTCTTAAGAAAGGTAGGACATTCAGCTCGAATGTGCCCATATCCTTCACATCCATGGCATTGGATTCCTCTGCTTTGATGTCCCTTTTCTTCAGACTTAGGTCTTCTGCTGGAGTCATAGGATCTGCTAATGTCAGAGGGAATGTTCTTGACATTTGACCTTGACTTTGGGTCCATTCTCTTGATGAGTTTGTTGAACTGCCTTCCAAGCATAGCTATAGCTTCTGAAATATTCTCTTCATCACCCTCCTTGCTTTCATCTTCTGTATTAGATACAAGGGCTATGCTCTTGTTTTTCTTGTCAACATTGTCATTGATCCCCATCTCAAAAGTATGAAGTGACCCAATGAGTTCATCAACCTTCAAGTTGCAGATATCCTGAGCTTCCTTTATAGCAGTCACTTTCATTGCAAACCTTTTAGGCAAGGATCTGAGAATCTTTCTCACCAGCTTTTCTTCTGACATTTTTTCTCCCAATTCTCCTGAGGTGTTGGAAATTTCCAAGATGTTCATGTGAAACTCATGAATGGTCTCATCTTCCATCATCCTTAGGTTCTCAAATTTGGTAGTGAGCATCTGAAGTCTTGACATTTTTACTTTAGATGTACCCTCATGGGTGGTTTTGAGAGTGTCCCAAACATCCTTGGCCAGTTCACATTGATGTACTACTCTGAATATGTTTCTATCAATTCCATTGAACAAGGCATTTAATGCTTTGGAGTTACCTATGGCTAACTCATCTTCTTCTTTGCTCCATTCTTCCTCAGGTTTCAGACTGGTCGTCCCATCTTTCCCAGTTATGGTGGGATGGTTCCATCCTTTTTCAGCAGCTCTTCAAGCCTTTTTGTCCAGTGACTTCAAGAAGGCAATCATACGAGGTTTCCAGTAGTCATAATTTGATCCATCCAGAATAAGTGGTATGTTCCCAAATCCTCCTTCCTTGTCCATAGCGTCAGGAAATAATACCCCTAGATCTCACCCAGAAAGACAGGCAGGGTGCCTGCTCTGATGCCAATTGAAATTCTGACAACAGATACTTAATGTCACAGTGAATGTTATGACACCGTATCTGACAAACTTGTACACACTTCAAGACAGTAATTTAAAAATAGTAAAGAACACAATCAATTGTTAACCCAGTTCAGTGTGTAACAACACCTACTCTGGGGGCTACCAAGTCAGGGAGGAAATTCACTATAAGAGATATTAATTTAGGAATAAACCAGCCAGTTTATCTCCTTCACTTAAGACCTACCCAATGCAACTTCAATCTAAGTTCAACTTAAACCTGAGTTCCTACTCACTCCCCCTCAATCACAGCAGTGATACTAAACTATTAATTAATGAGATTATGAAGACATTCTTCAATACACACACTTGATTTTGCTTCAAAGCTTTAATCAAGAGACACAATTACTCGTGCTTCAAAGCTTTGAGTGATAAACAACCCTAACTTGATTTTGCTTCAAAGCTTTAATCAAGAGACACAAACACTCGTGCTTCAAAGCTATGAGTGATAAACAACCCTTACAACCAAAACCTACTCCAAGTCACTTATCAAAACGATAATTCCTTGGCTCACAGTAGTTACAACTATACAATGCCTTATTGATCTTCTGTCAAAAGTGCTTCAGTCCATTAGGCTTTGTGAGAAATATATAAGCAAACTATTCCTCATCTAGGGCTTCCATGAAAATAGCTAGGGTTAACTAAAGGTAACCTAAAGACTTGGTCTAGGGCTTTTTCATAACAGATTAGGATTAAGCAAGGTTAACCTAATGTCCACGTGAGCAGCTGATCTGGACAATAATTCTTCAACTCAGAGCAGCACACCAGTTTCCTGAAAAATCTCAGGAATAATAAATCTGCACAACAACTTGATCAGTACAGGATGTCTTAACATTGATTATGACATCATGTATCTTGCTCACTGATTTTAGTAGAATTCAATATATATGATCATAGCTTAATGATCATTATAATCACTCATACTGAGTAGTTCATGTAGAACATTCTTTTCTGCAGAATGTACCTTTATCCCAGAATGTTATGACATCAGTCATAACATTCGCAAATCTGATTTTACCAAAAAAAATGCCAACAAACAAACACTTACAGTTTAATTATATTATTGTTCTAACAATTTTTTTCAAGAACTACCTTTTTTTTTCTTTTTATTCACACACAAAATTGCTACTACATATTCAAACTCTTAGTTTGTCTCTACAAAACATCCACCCTGTATATATTTTGACTAACCATTGTATAGCCATTTTCTTTATTATTATTGAGTCAACAAGTTAATTCGTTTTCCATCACTTTTCTCTTCTGTTTGTTTTTTATATAAACTCTAATAATTTATATTAATAACTTTTACTAATTTTCTTTTCCCTTTTTACCAATTATATACTTACTGCTTTCTTTCTAACTATTTCAAACCCATGATATCCATGTATATATCATTATCATCATTTTTTCAAAACCTGTTAAAACATATATTGCACACAGAGGAAATAAACAACAGAAAAAAAAACTTGTTTCTCAAAATCACACAATTAATTCAAACCATATGCAATAAACATATCTCACTTAATACAACAAATATTTAGTTCTTTTTCTTTTTTCCTCATTACAGTGTAGCAAAAGAAGTCTCACTCAAGAACATATCAAGCCCATCTGGATCGAAAACAAAGTCTTCGTGCAACCTCTGCTATCTCGCCGCCGAATGTCATTAACTATAGTCATTACCGAACATACACTACTTCAGATGAAAAGATCTGAGACACCATATGTGACAACAACTCTGTGCACCAAAACGCCTCCGGATTCCCGACAGATCCCGAACCTCTAACGCTGAACCCAACGACATAAACCGACCCACTATCACCGGGAACCGCCCAAATGCTGTACTTTACGGTCATACCCACCGCTGCCGATCGAGACTTGGAGGTACATATCTGTAGTTTTTCTTCACGCTTTTCATTTTTTGATGTTCGTTGATTAAGAGAGAGGAGTTTTTTATTGTGTTCATGTAAAAATAGATGCATCTCTATTTGATTTTTGCTGTAAAAAGTGTGTTGTGTTTGAGAAGAGAGATAATATTCAAGAAAGAGAGATAAGTGAGATTTTTCTTTTTTTCTTTATTTTATTGACTCTACGTTTTGTGGGGAGGGGTAAGTTTGAAAGATCGATATATTAACTATTTATTTTGATTGTTAATAGTTATTGTTATTATTAATTATTATCTTAGATTTTAATTTTTTAAAAATGGCCATAGTGTAAGTGTAAATGTAAATGTGATTGTAGAATTATATTTATTCTTTGTATTTTCACTTGTTTTCATAAAAATATAATAATAATGTTTAAGTGATGCTAACGCATAATAGTATTGTTTACTTGGACTTTAGATTAGCTCGGTACATAAAATACAATAAAAATATAAATAATTCATAACTTAGTTTATTAGGTTATTTTATTTAGAGTAATTTAGTTTATTATTTTAGTCTAATAAAAATTTAAAGATACAACAGTCATTAACCAATACCTATAATCAAATAACAATTAAATTTATTCAAATATTCTATAAATAATAGGATGTCTATCTTCAGATAATTAAACCGGTCGACACATCGTCTATCGGTTTATTATTCAAACATCAAAACATTAAAACCGCGCAAGTCATTAAATTCACCATCAACGAGCAACATGTGGCCAATATCTGGTCACGTGACGAGGAAGACTATATCAGACTCCCTCCGCATACTTTATGACAAGCAACATATGGCCCACATCTAGCCACGTGATGAGGAGACTATATCAGACTCCCTCGCTCTATGTCTTAATACGAATAACTAACCTCAAATCAATTATTTTACTTATAAAATTTATACTTTCAAAAAAGGATTGTATTAATATATTTTATCGACTGCGAGTTATATCTATGATTCCGCAATTTACAAACCCGGATTTGGTTCAAAGAGAATTCAAGATATTTCTACAACCCATAAAAAACACAAACAAAACCGTGAACTACGAAATGAGACTTTGATTCCTCATAAGAGGATACGTAGGCATACGATCAAAAATCGTGGCGAGTCCCTGTATTTAAAATTAAAACCCTTTTCCCTTAAAAATAGTAAAAAAAAACATATTCCCTAAAAATCGTGTATCTAAACCTAGTATCCTTGTGAACAAGGTAGACGAGAGGCTGCCTAACACATTCCCTTCGTCTAGAACCGAGTCCAAACCTAGAATCTCTCAACTTTAGGGTTATTCCTTTATAGTCCCTTCCTTTAGGATACAAATTAAGGGTGGTGACTCTGATTTAAAAATCAGTTGCAACACGAATATATCATACTGATGACTTGGTACTAAAGTGCATCATTCTACCGCAAGGTGACCCTAGGGGAAAATGGACTCCCACCTACGAAGGGCCATTTTTTGTCAAGAAAGTATTTTCAAGCGGTGCTATGATACTGACCACCATAGACGATGAAGATTTCCCGCATCCTATGAACATGGACATAGTTAAAAGATATTACACATAAAAACGACCCGCTAGGTTGACTGGCCTAGGAAAAAAATAAGGGTATCCCGACGAACCAAAAAGATTCAGCCAAAAATTAGGGATGCATATAAAAGATTCTACACCCGGCAAGTCGAAAACCTGAAAAGGCGGCTTGGGAAAAAAATGGTATCTTGGTGGATTGAAAACCCAAAAGGGCGGTCCACGGAAAAGTTAGGGATTAAAAGTGTACGATTATGTCCCGTTGGATCACTTACTGTAAGCTTTATTACCAAAGTCAAAAGTTCAAATGGTACAGACCAGTTCAATCAACTTCTTCCGACAGCGAGGGATGAGATGTTTGAAGATATAGGGGCAATAGCGGAGTTGGAACCCACCGAGATCATTTCCTCATAGCTATATGTTTTGTTTTCGCTTTGTATTATTTTCATTTCACGACAATTTCCTCTTACTAGGATTTATGTCTCTTTGTACAAAATCGCCTGCTTATAGGCAATCTATCAATGCAAATACACCCTAAAATTCAAACTTTTTGTTTTTTAATTTTTCTATTTTGTTTGCAAAAACGTCCAATGACTAAAATTGAATGTACATATGCATATGAACACGATTAATTGTTAATAAATATATGCATAAGAACAAGAATAAACATTTATTCAAAACTCTAGGAGTTGGGATGACATTATGGTTGTCCACAAATCCCCACAGAGCCACTTCCATGAGATTATCCCCACGGAGTAATGTTTATAAATTTACCTTCAATAAAGATACATTCCCCGCAATTTCCCCGATAGGTCGCTCTGGCGTATAAAAGAGTATGATCTCCTTTCCAGCAATATCACCAACCTATAGAGTTTCAATCAGCACAGTTCATGGAGATTCTCTTCCCCAACTGAGTTTATTCCTCCAAAATTGTAAAATCCCCTGCAGATTTTCCCTCTCTCGCAGAGCTCATTTCCTCAGTAAGGTTGTTTCTTCAGCAGAGTACTTCTCCATTAACAGGGTTTATTCCTCCAAAACTGTAAAATCCCCTGCAGATTTTCCCTCTCCCGCAGAGCTCATTTCCTCAGTAAGGTTGTTTCTTCAGCAGAGTACTTCTCCATTAACAAGGTTTATTTCCTCAATAAAATCTAGTGTCCCCAACTTGATTCTATTCCTCAGATATCTACGAATCACCAGCAAAACTCCTCTGCCCAGTGAAGTTTCCACTATCCCTAGAGAGTTACCATAAAACCTGGAATCGGACCAGATATCAGTCAACTTTATCCTCCCCAAACGAGTCAGAAGGTTATCCATCTCTTTTATCCCCAACCAGGGTATATAAGAATTAAACTCCCCAGACGAGTCAGATGGTTATCCATCTCTTTTATCCCCAATCAGGGTATATAAGAATTAAACTCCCTAGACGAGTTGGAAGGTTATCCATCTCTTTTATCCCCAGTCAGGGTATATAAGAATTAAAACTCCCCAGACGAGTCGAAAGGTTATCCATCTATTTTATCCCCCGTCAGGGTATATAAGAATTAAACTCTCCAGTAGAGTGATGAATGACTAATGTTCCTGAAATCTTCTCCCCAAACTGAAGTCAACATTCCCCGATGGAGTTTTCTCAAAACAGTAAGCAGGAATCCCCAACGGAAGCATTCTAGACAAGGTTGAATATTACACATGTTCTTCATCCCCAGGACCAGACAGGGATTCATTTTCCCTAGGAAGATGTCATATGGAACTGTTGATACATTTCCAACAACCTTTCATATTCATACATCATTTACAAATATCATAACATATGCATACGAAACGCATATAGCACAGTCTCATTTATTTTGAGAACATCATTACGCTATGCATTTCATACATCATGACATTGCATACAACTAACTCTTTACCTTTTCGGGAAAGATCAATCAACAGATAAACATCATCAACTACTTATATGACCCGACAGTCTTCTCCAAGGCTACATCTAACAAAGGGCTATTTCAGAAATTTCTTCAGAGGATCATTCTAAAAAAATCCATCTTTTGGCTCATATTAAATCAAACGTAGATTTATTCTAATACTTCTTCCAGTAGACATTTTCTGGCTCAGATTAAATCGACCATAAATTTATTCTGATACTTCTTCCAGTTAAAGACAAAAGACCTCTCTTGGCTCAGATTAAACCGAGTGTAGATTTATTCTAATACTTCTTCCAATTAAAGACAGACGTAGACATCTTCTAGCTCATATTAAATCAAGTGTAGATTTATTCTGATACTTCTTCCAGTAGATATCTTCTGGCTCAGATTAAATCAAGCGTAGATTTATTTGGATACTTCTTCCAGTAGACATTTTTTGGCTCAGATTAAATCAACCATAGATTTATTCTGATACTTCTCCTAGTTAAATACGGATGTAGACATTTTCTAGCTCAGACTAAATCAAGCGTAGATTTATTATGATACTTCTTCCAGTCGAAGTCGAACGTAGAAATAGTCTAAGTTCTATCAATAGTTACTTTGGATGGTATCTATAAGCCCATCTCCGACAAATCTACATCACCTCTCCAAATGGCATCTTTAAGCCCATTCCCAGTATAATCAACCAACAGTGTTCCTTTGTGCATCAGCAAGTGTAAATTTCTGGGCACTTAAGTGTTCAATCATCTTCTACCTTCAAGTCACGAATAGAGGACATGCCAATCTAACTCTTCATGTTTAATAAGATTGAACAGGGGGAGATGTTGTACCCCAAAATTTTACCTCCCATTTTCTTCAGGACATTCTCATGAGGTCCCCATTTGCTCAAAACTACTCAAGAGTTGACTGGTCAAAACCACCTCCTAAGCAAGGATCTTCAATTAGGGTTTGGTGCTTCCCAAAGAAAATTGGTCTACAAGGGTCTCAATTAACTTTCATGGTTCTTTATAGGTCCTCAATAATGCTTATGTCAATTTTCAAGTCTTGCATCACATGTTTTCTCAATCAGTGATTCAGATAATTTAAAATCAACTATATTGGGTAAAAAAGTCAATTATGGTCAACATACGGTCAAACATCAAGATTTTTGGTCAACATCAACATTTTGAGGTGATATTCATCATTTGGTCAAGGGTTGATCATGATTACTCAAGGAAATCCCTTAAATCATCAAAGGTCAAAATTTGCCAAAATTAGGGTTTTGATTGAAGATGACTGATCATTGACTTTTGGCCAAGTGCATGACCTAATGGCTTAAAGTATGATCTTAAGGACTCAAATACAACATTTTTACCAAATTACATGGCTCAAGACAATTACAAATATGAAAGCGATTGATAGTTGAAGAATTGAATCAATTGATGAAAAGTCGACAATCACACAAAAGTCAAACTTTGACATTTTGGTCAACATTGGAATTCAAAAATCAAGAATCATCAAAACATTCAAAAATATCAAACTTTGTCATCAAGAATACATAAAAAGTCAACAAAAGTCAAAGGTTGGAAAAAATTTCAATACTTAGAAAAAATTCTAAGTGTTTTGTTCTTAACAATGTCAC